AGCGGTCATTCGGTTGATCCCAAAACGTCTTTTCGAGTATTAGTTTGAGCACGAACAAATCGGTTAGTGCGCCACCTGGAGGCAGCCTACATACGGTGGGAGAAACCCGACCTATGAAAACAGGTGGACCATGTGGTCGACCTCAGCTTGTCCTTGCAGATCTGAACCCTTTTGATTTACAAAATCCCTCGACATGTTAACTTCTCCATCTTCTTGCTTATGTTGCGTTTTCAAGTTGCCATTTTATTACTTAGTCCACGTGCAGTATACAATGACCTTGCAGTTTTACACTGATTTTTTCTGTCGAAGTTCAAACCTCTATATCTTTTTCACTTGTTATCTGTGTTATGCAATGACAGGCTGCAGTTGATAAGCCGTTGCGAGATTTACTGGTTCCAATAAATTCTGCTGTCTATGCCTGTTTTATATTCATTTTGATGTTACTTTGCTTTGGAGTCCTGGCTTAAATAGCTGCAGCGGTGCTGCTTGCTGCAAATATCACTAACATGGGGTAAAGTCACTGTTCTGCGAAATTAAAATTAATTTTTGCATTCCCAATTGTCAGATTTATCAAGTTATTTGCATTATTTGAGGAGCACTAAGTCAATCCATTACAATAAATGTGTCGTACACTTTCTAGTCTTGTAGAAACACAAAAACAATGATGCTGGGTGGACACGATGAAAAAATAGGTACTGCGAGTAGATACCATCAAAGCCAAGGGGTGATGGAATGATGATTTTTGGATTTTTAGACGCCATCAGTCATTTATGCACCAAATCTATGTTCTGATAGGCCGAGATTCAAAGATAGACTTTTAATTCAGTGAGAAAAGTAGGAAAAGCGCGTTTCGTGCTCCAGTCAGCTTGAGGAACACCCCCTCTACATTAATTAGTCGCGAGCTCACTTTTATACCGTATTAAAAAGGTTGAGTAAAGTAGCTTTAGCGAGTGGGAATATAAGTGAAGAGTATTGGAGGGGAGGTGAAGGGTCGAACTGCGATTGGTTTAGGTGACAGTTCGACCGTCGTTGCCGACCATACCTACCCTGGGTTCCTTGGCAAGGTGACAACAGGCGCGACGTCTTCCGTGTTAATTAGTTCATATTGGTGGTACACTTGCACAGCATCTATTGCACTCACCCCTTTCACCCTGCTTAAGTCCGGTGTCAAGACAGAGTGAAGAAGACCTTAGGCGGAGAGATTGCAGGTGGCTGACACTGTCAAGCCCGCACCTAGGCCTATCACCACACCCCCCGGCTCCACAACAAACACTTAACCAGGATTTTAACTAATAAACAAAAGTGGGTCAGAAAGGGGAGAGGATGACATAAGTCGTGGGCAACCATGCACCCAGCGGGAGCGCAAGCGAATCTATCGGCAGGCAGCCAGGTGCCAGAGAGCTACCAGACTTCGAAAGCCATGGTTTGCTGAAGCATGATATAGCAAACGCACAAAATCAAAACCCTGATCTCTTACTGACATTAAAACATGTATGAGAGACGTGAACATGAAATACTCTATACTATCGATAAAAGTAATCTATATTTTAGGATTTTTCCTGATTGTTTGCTGATCTTGCCGTGTGGAGATATGCGGGCGGTCAGAGGGAAGAAGCGGCCGAAAATAAAAATGGAATTAGTTGTTTGTGCCGATGCCAGAATTGTAAGCTTTAAACATCCCGAAAGATACTGTTTGTGAGGACTAGTTCCTACTTTTACGTAATTTAGGAACGGGACAGGCAAAACATCCAGTCTGGTCATCGCTTTGAGCATTCATAAAAGTAGAGAGAAGCTTTAATACAGACAGAGGTAGCGCAAAGGATTGTAATATGAGGAGAAATGTAAGCTCTGTCATTTGCTGCAGGAAAATTAGCAAGAGCTTCCGGAAAAAGGGAAAGAACGGTTAAAAGTACAAGTTTATTTTGAAAATGGCAAAGTATGTGGGCGCCTGTCAGCAGAATACAGCGTCAAAACAAAATTTCATCCGGGAACTCATTGAATAAATTTCTTCTCTTAACCGGAAGCGTATCATTTTGTAAATGCTTATTTTCTTGGACAATGCGTTTTGCTGTTGGAGTGTGTTTTGAAACATGACCCAAAAGATCATTTACATGAAAAAATCACCAAACACCTTCTTAGCCAACAACTGCCTAGAAGAGGAGCCTTTTGTAAGGTTTTGATATATTCATATATGCATGGTACGACTGAAGATGTCAAAAACACTTAAAGTCGTGAGGTAATTACTTATATTTGAAGAATAATCTGAAAGGCCATCGTTTGCTGATCATGGCATAGCAGACACACACAATCCTTAAGGCCGGAGGATAAATAAACGTTCCATGTTGAAGGGTTTTACAAAACGATCAAAAGGGGAAGTCACTACTTTATAAATGCTAATATCCTTTCTATTGTCTGCAGATCCCGGAATGGGAATGCACCTAGTGTCTCGTCAGAAACGAAAAAATTATCTGTAACGCACATCTCAGTGGCGTGAAACGAGTCCAAGCAGTGTTGGAATATGAAATGCAATTTTCATAAGGGCGCAGCATTCCTTCTGTAGAAGCCTCAACAGAATGCGGATAAACATTTACTTTAATATAATTTGAGATTTTTCCGTTTTAAAGCCGTCAGTCACATACGTGGACGCTTTTTAGAAGAGACTCAGACATATCTTCGATTTAATGATACCATTACGGTAACACGGGAGCGCTGATTTCGAGTAAGCGTAACAGTCCATTTTAAATGTGACGGAAAAGATTTATGCTATTTACGTTGCCGTTTTCGACAGGTACATTTTTGGGCGGATGACCGAAAAGTAGCTTGACTCGAAGTTACCGATATTATACTGCATGATAATTAATAATAAGACCCTTTATAAGCAACCCTTTCTAAGCAAAAACGCGTTTTGGCATTTCGGCTAGCATGAAACGAGACAGATCACATACTATGACGTGTTAGTTGTTTAAGGTTCATCATGCCTTTCTTCTAACACACGCCCTTCTATTGTCCACTAAGAATGTGAACTTTCCCCCAAATCTGTCTCGTGGATTTTTTAAGTTTTCAGCCCCTTAAATTACTAACTATTAAATTGGGTAAACATCTATGCATGAAGCAGCCACTTAAATCCAGTTGTAATTATCGGATATCTGAAGAGGAAAATGGCATATCGTGGCGCGTGATTTAATATCATATATGTCGTCCGAGTGCATACGAACGATAACGTGACCTTTGGATAGAGTTTTTAACGTTCAGGTGATGCGCATCCAATAGGCGGACGCATTTGTTATGTCATCGTACGCACAGTCATCTGTTAGTCCCTCGGCATCTCGAATCCACGGTCACGGTGGCTTTTCCGACTTTAGGTTCTAATCTTTGTCAAAACTCAGACCATCTGTACAAGCACCTCCATTACCTAGCAATCATGATAGTGATTTATCCTGATGCCTGTTGGCTATGCAGTCAGGACTTTCGGCGTTCGGCATCGTTCACTGGCAGCCACCTCGGCGGTTCTGACAACTTTGAATTTGCTGGCAAAAAGCTAAAAGACTAATGACTCTATTAGCTCCAGTAGGTTGCAATGATCCTTGACTATTTTCAGAACCAATAGCACATTAAGAAGCAATATCTTTTTTCAAATCATGGTGCATACCAGCTGTAGTGAATCCCACATATTATCCTTCGCATTACTTGCAGTTAACCCTTTGTTGTCTTCAACCATCGAAATGGATCCAGTAAGTCCATAACATCTAGATGTTACTTCATGTCATGCGGTGGCCGTTCCAAGCTCTGCCGTTTCATCTACCCATTTGCATTTCAAGGTTAGTGTAAAAAATCAAAAATGTTGTCGCTTTCCTCGTATGGCAAGATTAAAGTTTAGAATTTAGGTAGGAATCATATGCTGAACACGTCCATATCTCAGTAATTAATATAGGCTGATTCAAACACTGCCTCTGTTATCTCAATAATTGCCAAGCGAGGAGGTTTAAACATTCCTCCCGTGCAGGCGGACGTTTGCCAACTAGATACATTATAACGGCCAGGAGGGTCTGAATTGACGCGCAAAATAAATCACTTATTTTTTGTAATGAACGAGTTGAAGGTATTCAGGCGATCAAACAGATTTTTGTTTAGAGATCGTTGTAGATATAGGAATTTTCTTGGGCACTGGGAATCCTATGATTTTTAGTATTATACCACCGTGCTAAATGCTGCTGGAAGCATGCAGCCAGCCTGCAAACGCTGAGCAAAAAAGTGGTTGTTCTTCTCAAAGGTGCCTTTAAATTAGACTGTGAATGTAGACTAGGGTGTTTTTCTCTCTCATGGAAGGTACGCTTCCAATTGTAGAAGACCCCTGTAATTTCTCCTTGCTTAAAAGAAAAATTGACTAAGAAGTTCCAAGTCAAAAGAGCGCTGACTTAACGTCTCCCCGTGCTGAACACGCCCATTTTTCAATCATTAATTTAGGCTGATTCACATACTGCCTCTTTTTACTCAGTAATTTCCACGAGAACAAATTTACAATGTTTCTTCCGGGCAGGTGGGACGTTTGCCAACTTGATCAATCGTAGCGATCAGGAGGATCTTAATTCATGCGCCAAATTATATAAAAATTTTTGAACTGAACTAGTTAAAGTTGTCCACGCGATTAAACGGATTTTTATTCGCAGGTTGCTGTGAATATATTAATTTTCTAAGGCGCTAGAATGGATGATCTCCATTCGGTCTGCAATTTTCACAGACCCAAAGCTTTTGACGACATTATCGTATGTTCATTTAACAATATACAGCGAAACATACATATGTGGAAAGTACGAAGGCCTACCAATGGTAGCATCTAAATGGACTTGGGAATCGATGCTCCTTGTCGGTTCAGTACCCCTGGCAGCATTCAGAACTTGTCATTACTGGAGCAACATATAACACTGTTACGAGGAAAAACAGGACATAAGCCTTTACTGCAAGCGTATCGTGAAGGTGGAACATTCAACTTGTCTCATTGATCAGACAAAATTCGTCTGAATTTCATATATGTTGTCCCAACTAATGTCATTCTTTTCTACCTTCTTCTCTTTCTCCTCCTCCTCCTCCTCCTCCTCCTCCTCCTCCTCCTCCTTCTTCTTCTTCTTCTTCTTCTTCTTCTTCTTCTTCTTTTTCTTCTTCTTTTCCTCCTTCCTCACTTTCTCAGTCAAAGAACACCTTCATTTTGACCCCTCTTCCTATAAGTCCTTGAGCACATGCTTTAAAATCAAAATTCCTTCCACTGATGTAGACAGTTCCAAATATCAAAGTGCCCAGTTGAAACGATAGGTGAATACTTATCAAATCAACACTTTATCTGCCATTTTATTCTACGAAAAAACCTTAAAACTTGCGCACTTCAAAAAACCCCAAAATACCAAAATTTGTGTTTTTCCAACCAGCGGGCATGAGATACATGGCCTCCTAATGAGCGCGTCGCAAAGCAAATTATCAGGCTAAAAGTGGACTAAAATGCCGCGTATGCTTACACTTATACAACAAGCCCGATATTGGCCGTTTTGCAAACTTTCGTTTAGAATAGCTCAAACTACCGAAAGAATATGTTGATACTTGAATGTTAGCATTTGGCTGTGAGAAGCTTGCAAGCAAAATGCCGAGACAAGAATCCCGCAACTGTCATTTGCGTGTTCTCTCGACTATAATTTAAAAAAAAGTAGTTGACAAGAACCAAAGAGGGAACTCGCCGCAATCCTGAGAACGGCAACAGCTCCCTTTTCCAAGAGACACCCACCTTTTTGATTATTTGTACATGCCTGTACCACCTTGCTATGGAGCACACGGTAGTCATCTTTGGTCACGACGGCTGAACTGTCATAATCACTGGTGGTGGGCACTCACCGATAGTTCATATGGAACTCACTCGTTCCGTTGTGCCTTATGGGCTCTCTCTCAAGCCCAACCAGCAGCCACACACAGCGGCGCGCGATATAGAAGGCAACAAGGCACTACCGACAAAGACAAGGGAGACTGGGATGGCCATTTCTGGCTTATTAGCCGTCGTTAGCCAGTCATACCCAAACCCGATGTGTGGAACACCCGAGGCACGCCTCTAACCACTGGGCCACGCGCCCGCTGCCCTGTCGGTTTCGATCGGGTATATTAACGATAGTAGAAGGACGCTCAGCAATTACAGTACGGAACTCACTCGTCTCGCAGTGCCCTTGAGGTCTCCTTCGGGAAGACGACAAATCTTGTGCGAGTGAATGGGTTTTCACCGTCATAGCCCGCTTCCTGTCGTGAGGAGAAGACACAGGAGGAGGGGGTATTCATCCGTTTTCAATCGCACTTTTTGCAATGCCTAGATGGCAGAGGTTTAAAGGTAAGCTTTGTGCATTCACAAAGAGTGGGCGTTAACGCGACAATTGTGATCAGTCTGCCTGCTTGCAGGTAAAGAGCTTCCCCATGCATTAGTTCAAAAAGTCGGACGTTGACAAATGCGGCAAACGTGCGTTCACCCCAAACCGGCACTTTCTTGTGCCAGTTTTTGAACGGCAAATTCCTTTGCGGCGGTCTTTGGTTTCCTCTTGTAGAAAAACCGAGTTTTCGTTTGCGTTAATTCTCCTTTCTCGTTGGAGCTTAGACATCCGCCATCTGTAAACGCTTTTGCCGTCAAGGTAAACGTAGCTCAAACAGGTTAGATGTCGATGCATGTCTGAAATGCCAAAAAGTCGCCAATAACTGAAACCCTTCGTCCGAAAGATTACGTCCGTAAAGTCAGCGGAAGTAGCTACTTCATAGAATTTACGCAGAAAACAGGGGCTTCACCAACAGAAAGCATACTTTACGAACACTTCGCATGAATTTTTTTGGAAAAAAGGGTTATAGATTTAAGGTAAAAATGCAAAGGCGTCTAAAATGCGTCTCTGAACAAAATGTGCAAGGACTTTGCATAAGATAAGAAACGGTCGCTTGACACAAAAGGGGTTGAATATTACAAATAATGTATACGTACCGAGTTAAACCGAACATAAATATATGTATGGGATTTTTATTGCGCGAATGGTATCGAAGATTGCATCTGTTGAACGTTATTAAGGACAGCATTTTGACGAAAAAGGCTTTTAAAGGCAGCGCGCGAATAGCGTAAAACAGTATATTTCGATATAGTTTTACCTGGCAAATTGAAAATACCTGTAATCAGTAAATAAAAATGATCACTCAGATACAAAAAGTATCAAGAAAACGTACTTTCGGTTTCCCTAAACTCAAAAGAAAATAGGTATAAGCGCCCTTATATTTGTGAAACTCGGCGAGGAATTTTAAAGATTTCTTGGGTAGATAGGCAAAAAAACCTGACGGATAAGTAATCCAGGGATAATTACTACATACCAGCGTGCCACCTTCTAAATGAGTGTCCTTTAAACACCCGCTTTAAGTAAACCTATAAACGACCCGCAAATTAAACTAAATACACTTGATCCACCAACCTTCCAAATTTATTTAAATCCAACCGTTCTGTTAGCGTGCTCAGTGCACGGTAGACTGCGCACTCCCAAGAGTGTGAAGTTCACTTCTAAAAGGGGTTCGGTTGTTAGGGGTCCATCATTAACTTCATATTTTGAAACTCGACCCCAAATCATTCCCATATTACTCTTCCTGCTCTATCGAATAGGTTTCCTATTGCATATATAATATCGCAACAAATGTCTTACAGTCCGCTATTTATTGGGCAGTGTAATTAAGTGACGATCATTAATGTTGTTTGTTTACTAATCCTGTGACGTATTAATCAATTTGCGCAGGCATTAAAATGTGCTTGAAAATGGTCTTTCTTCCAGGTTATGAAAGAACCCTCGTTGTATTGCTTGCACATTGACATGTAGCAAGTGACCTATGTTTGCTTTCCCACCCTAGTGACTGAGGAAATAGTATTTGATTAATGCTTGAAAGACGATTGAATTGGCATAACGAACGGATGTAAGCGAGTTAATATTTAGCTAAAACGGTCGTTAGTTTGTGGGACCTCAAGCACAAATATTCGGATACAGTTGCAGTCTGTGAAATCGCAATCGTAAATAAAGTTCTTCCCGAAATATGCCTGCCTTGGAGATTGTATGTGATACCAGCAAGCAAATAAGCTGACTATCTTGGAATTGAAAAGTCAAATTGAAGGAAAGAATGCGAGTTCCAGGAAGCAGATGAGGAGAAAAAAATGATTTAGCCGCCGGAATAAAAATTTCCTCCGCATGATGCTTTGGATTTAATCTTGACCTCATTGCAACTGAGACCAAGTCGGCCATTGTCACAGTGACGAGTGTCCATTAGCGTAGCAACTGCAACTCATGAGCGTTACCTGATGTTGTTTATGATGATGGATTCGGTCGTGGGACCAGAGCATCCAGCAAAAAATCCTGCCCCAGCTATCACACCTCCATCTCAAGCGGAAATCCACTGCTTCTGGCTCGTTCCCACTAAAGTGCCTAGTCCAGAAGGTAATTCACAATTTTCATGCTTATAATTCACAGAATGTCTGTTTAAACAGACTGTAATTGAACTAAATCAGCCTAGGCAAACGAACATTCATAGCCGGTTATCGACAGGTCTGCACAGATGCGTATTCTTTGTCGATTTTGACTGTTTCCCTTCCGAGCGAGCGTTATGGCAGGATTGGGATAACATCTGCGAAACAGTCAAACAAACAGCTGAACGCGGGTCCACACGTAACTGGGCATTTAATGAAGAGAGAAATGAGGTAGCGAGAGTTAGGTTTACGTACAGTAGTTGGGCTAACTCAAGAAATGTCAAACGAACTTCCAGCATGCGTTTTCGTTTCGAAAAGATTAAGTAAGTAGGGTTGTTAACCAATTATCATGCAGCATAATTCTATAATGACGTCGTTACCTCAGGGTGTCGGTATTCGAATGAACTTATTTTCGGCAGCATGCAAAAACTATACTCTGTAAAAATGATTACACACGTAGCATGTATTTTTCTCTTTGATTTTCAATGCCCTTATAAAGTCAATTGTACAAAATATTCACTCTTTTTCTCATTCGGTAGCCAACTACGTCTTCATTCAATTTTATGCTCGAAGGAAGGGTATAATTCGGGTTTGAAAACTTTTCCACTACCCGAATAATTTTGAACTCGACCTGCCGTTACACTTGCATTCAGGGTTCATAAACCACAAGCCGTATATTATCCGCGTATGAAGAACTGTAAATTTCTTTACGGCATTCAGAGGAGATCATAAGGGGCTCATAAAATTTAGCAGTGGATTTAAGCCTTATTAATTACTTTGCAAGCAACACTAGTAAATGCAGAGACATGACGCTTTATTAACGGCCATTTCACGGTATTGAATAATCTCACAATTAGAAACCTTTTAAAACCACATTATACTCCTTTGAGTATGAAATTTAAAAAATACGTAATTTCCTAACGACTGATTAGAAGAATAAATATTTTTATGCATGTTTTTATGAAATATATTTAACATTTTAAGAGCATTGAAAATCAAAGAGGAAAACGCATGCTGCTTAAGTGTAGTTCCTGATTGCAGCCGAAAAGAAGTTTGTTTGAAAACCGGCATCGTGAGGGAGCTGAATTGTGATAGAATACTGCTGCAGGATGATTAGCTTCACAACCCTTCTTAATTAATCTTTTCGAAACGAAAACGCATTTCGAAATTTCGGTTGACATTTCATGGGGTAGCCCACCTACTGCAGGATCTCACGTCTGTTGCGAGCACGCGATTCTGCTTGGCCATTAGTAGAATTGAAGGGCGTTTTGAAGATAGTTTTAGTAAGAACGCATTGGCACGAAAACAAGCCGGGTAACGATGATTGACTGAGATACTTTTAGGCGACTTTCACGCGTGTTTGCCCCGCAGATGCCACAATGACGACCTGACTAAAAGTGGGCGTTTTGTGCATTTGCCTTGTGGTCGTTAAAGGCCGTTCCCAGATCATGCTGTTTTCTTAAGCGCAACTATTTGTTTGACAGTCGAAACTAAATCAGTACTATGAACTCTGTATTCCAAAAGAAGTGTGCTTTCATAAGCCAGGCAGTTTAAAGACTATCGTTTTTAACTTCCTTAGAAATTAACTGCAAACGCGGAGTAAATCAGTTTGAACTAAGGCCTATAGGTGTAGACCGAAATTCGATGTCTATCAGCCACAGCGGTGTAAACACATAATGGGAGAGCGACGCTTACCGATTGTTTCTACGGAACTAACTCGCCCGCCTTGCCTTACGGGCTCTCTTTCGAGCCCTACCAGCAGCCGCACAGTGACGCATGATAGAACAGTATTACCAACAAAGACAAGGGAGACTGGAACGGCCAGTTCTGGCTTACTAGCTTTCGTCAGCCAGTCATACCCAATCCCGAAGTGTGGAACACCTGGAGCTTGAACTCGCGACCTGTTATTTGGAAGTCAAACGCTTCTAATTACTGAGCCATGGGCTCGTTGTCTTGCCGGTTGCGATCGGGAATATACAATGGTAGAGGGGCACCCACCGATCGTTTCTACGGTGAAACTATTCTGACTGTAACCGTGCTATGCTCATTAATTGGTAACGGGCAGCTCGTAGTATATTTCTGTGTTTCAACATACCATGCTAACATCACAGGCAGTAGGTAAAAGCTCAGACACGCGTGTTTCGCCGATATTCTGCTGCTGCGTGGCAGAACCAGGAGGGGTTCGGCTCATTAGTGGTTCCCCAGCATTTCTTGCATGCATTCTGGCCGATATTTCGGTTACAAATTGATGATTTTTCATTTCTTCTATAAATTATTTGCTGACTTGTGGCAAGTCGGCTTGGCTTAAGGTATAAAGCTGTAGACAAAAAATTTAATGCATGAGTACTTTGGCCGATGTCCCTCAGGCATAGCCTATCATGCGTTAACTGCCGACAGGCAGCTAGTAGGACATATTGGGTTGCAGTATGCCACACCAACAGGGCAGGCAGCGAGGGTTTTCGACTGTCATTTTGGCGCAGAACAAACATTGCCTTATCTCTTTGAGAGACACTAAAATTAATAAAATATCCAGCAGATAAAAGTACACGGACGAGGCACGAAGGACTATTTCTGAATCTAGCGCTGTCCGGGTTGTCCCAGCCTCCGAGATCTCAACTCGATAAGGCTGAGGCAGCACTGCCTATCGACGAAGAATACGCCACAGATGATCACTTGTCAGTAAACACTTCGACGAGAGTAGAGTGTAGGCGCCCAAATATTCCATGGATCGGTTGGGGTAGCACGCAGGACGGAGAGCAGGTGCGATGCAAGAAGACGCAGAACCTCGATGAATTTCTGTCGAAAGTTTCATCATTTGGCCGTCTTTTGGCAAAGAAAGCAAGCAGGATAATTAAAAAGTAAGCGAAAAGCAATTTTCAAAATTACAGACTTTGAATAAACCGCCGCAGGCAAGTTGACATTCCATCAGGGCGGCGAGAAAATTTTAGCCTATGGAAACGGTGAATGCTAGGTGATGTTAACAGTCACACTGAATTTTAGTGTACATGCTGGAGTCGCTAGCTACGTGGAGTTCAATACTCTACCGCTACCAACAATTCTCAGGTGCTGGTTACGAGTCGCCATACGACGGTCTGCGAGGGTGGCTGCAAACCCTCATAGGAGAGGAACTATTCATTTTTACCCTGGGCAACTCGGGAGTATACAGTTTTACTCAAATATTGAGGACCTCATATTCCATGCCCGACATGTTGACAATATCTTCGCAATAGCTAGTAAACAGCTTGATTTGAGCGGTCTACGTGAAAAAGTGAGTCACGCACACTCATGGTTAAGTTTAACCGCAGATACATGGAAGGCATAATTTTGTCGGTCACGGGATATCCTACTAAGTAGTACGCTGGTTGAAAAAATTCCCAGAAGTGTACTCCGAAAGGGCCTTCTAGAGTTTTCATCGATTAAGTCGGGAGTGAAGTTTCGTTTGCCGTCTAACTGACCGCGGTTAGATAATAAAACCTGCGGATAACTCGAGGGATGAGTGCGCCTTCATACGGAAGTTTTTGTGAAAAAGCGCTCTCAGCAAAGTGGGCCGCCATAGGCTGCAGGCAAGAACATCCGAAAAAACGGACGTGTCGATGACTGAGAAAAAAGGACTACTTCTTGGCTCACCGTTTCACGGTCTCCCGCTAGTGGATACCTCCAACGTCGTCTGAAGCCACCAAGGTTAATTTGCTTTTCTCGAGAACTCCCACAATCATTGCAAAAGAGAGGGTAGACTGTTTCGCCCTCTCCCCTTCTCCTTCCAACATCCTTTTTGTTTAGTATTTTTCCTTTTCAATCATCTGTCATGACTTGCATTAATGCAGCGACCAGATGATACGTAAACAAAAACGTTCACCTTCCGACATGGGTTTCTTTGATGTTGGTTTAAGTGCTCACATTAGGCGGGTTGGTGGATGTGTTAATAATTACCAATTCGACACGCCATTAAGCGTGAACTAGCAAGAAGTCCCCTATTGCTTTGATGCACAACACATTACGCAAGCCTATCGTCTCTATTCAAATGATAAATTCCTGTGTCAATTTCCTCAGAGCCCTAGAGAACCAGTAAGGGAGTCACGTGGGCTGGACCAACCATATGTTGTTGCACTTACCATACTTTGACTACTGTAGATGTGCTAACTCATGAATTGTTAACTGGAATTCTGAAATGCGTTTACGACCCGAAAAGATTACTTGAGTAAGGCTATAGTATTAATTACCGTGCAACATAATCCCAAGTAGCCTAGTTACTTTAGGATGCCGGCTTTTACACGGAACTCTTTCCGGACGCCTGCAAAACCATACTTTTTAAACAGTGACTTCTTAAGTAATATGACCTTTTCTCACTGATTTCCATGCCGCTATAAATTCAGCTATATTTCTTAGAAAACGTGCAAAAATACTGATTCTTCTACTAATTTGAAATAGACTTATGTCGTCTTCAAATGTTATGCTTGAATGCGGGTTACAATTCGCTTTAAAAAATTTCTAATCAGGAGGTTTTTGAGACCGTAAAAAGCCTGTTCAATAAAGTGTCGTGTCTCTGCATGTACTAACGTTGCTTGAAAATTTGACAATAAAGTTTCAATCCAATGCTAAATTTTATGTATGCCATATACAATACGTGACCTATCTGATGAAAACTGATAACGTTGCGCATTGTGCACGTAAGGAAAATATCAATAAATATCAAATATATCCATGTCAATATATCAATATCCAAAATATCAATAAATTTATCGAAAATGGACGTTGGAATATATTTGTGTAATTTCCTATTCTAACACATGCCCTACACTCCGTTTACAAATCTGAGCGAGTTTTTCATTGAAAGGAAATCAATTAATCCGCAACAGTTTGATAAACAGATTAAGCCGGACTTGAAAATTAATTTTATGTCCCATGCTAACTGTAGTAATCAACTTGCTAACATAAAGCTTATTTTAAGAAAAAAAGTTTTTTAACAAATTCTTAAAGCCATATTGGCAGATTTGCGCGATTTGGTGCCCTAATGTGCAGTAATAACGCTGACAGGTATTCCTTCGTTTAAATGGGCTCAAATTTTTTCGCCGTTTGGAAAATTCTACCTGATGTCACATAGATGACCACCACGGAATACTCATTTCCAGCTTTAAACCTGCAAAACCCTACTGTTCGTGTAGTTAAGGTTCTGTGCTTACTTGATTCAGCAATAGAACGAGCAAAACAATAATGGTTTCAGCAAAATACCAGTATTTATATGGGCGCTCTGCCGTACATTCATAATCGAAGAAAGGCGCCTAAAAAAGGGCAAAAATATTGAAAATGACTTCAGTATATATAAAGAAAGACAAGTCCTTACGTTTACGATATAAAATAGTTAGTTTTAATTAAGAAAATGAAAGAAAGTGCCAAAAGTGCCAGATTTTTTCTTGGCCTCACCGTGCAAAAATGCAAAATACACATACATCCGTCAACATACTGCAGTAGTAAAACACTTCTTAAAGAGATAACTTATTAAGGAGAGTTTCTTTTTTGATCGAAGGCATATTCTCTGCTGACTTTCGTTGTGGGCAGTCATTTTCTCGAAAATGAAGTTTGATTTTTGAATGAGTATTCTCATGTGACCCATACGACCATCTTCGTGAAAAGGGGCGCCCGACCACTAACTATTTCGGCAAATGCCTTCAAGAATGAGCTTATTTTAAAGTTCTTAACAGACAGGTGATTCAGAATCTATCTTTATGGAAGATCGGGTGAAAACACTGAAAATCATGAAGTATTCAGCAACATTTCGAGGCCCATCTGAAACTCGACGAAATATAAAACGAACGAGAAGTTTAAATTAGTTTAACGGAAGAAATGGTCTCTCTATAAACCAAAGATGGCATGTTTACGATCACGCCTGTCAGTTCTATTTAAATTTATTAAGCACCGACCGGCCTCATGGTATGTCACCTTATGAATACTTTTGTTCTTACGACGTCCCTATCGATGAATTCAAGCAAAATCCAGCTTCTCTTGTTGAACTCCATGTCATTTACTTCAAACGAGTCAAAAATAACAAGAATCACTGGAGAACTGTTTTGGAATCTACACTCAGAAAGTAGGCAGTGGACAAACCGCCATGTGTGAAATCACACTTCCCGTTATTAGACGTTATTTCAGTTCCTGTATGATTAGTTCGGCAACCAGACCGGGTATTGGTGAACCCATCGACGTTCTTTTGACCTGCTTGTATGTTCTGCCATTGAAGGTGAGAAAGGAGCTGGAAAAGGTCGCCTTCGACCACTATGAACTTGCATTTTGCCACCGGTACGTGGACGGCGCGTTCTTCATAATTGAAAGGAAGAGACTGGCGGACTATAAAGACCTGCTTAACGGTATTTTCCCGGGCATTCCGTTCACAAGGGAAGAAGAGCATGCCGAACAGCTGCCTTTCCTTGACATGCTCGTCACACGCACACCCAACGGCGATCTCAGCACCACGATGTACAGCAGGGTGATTAATACAACTCAGATTGTCAACTACCATAGTAACCACCCAATGGCGCATAAACGCAGCTGTGTTAGAACAGTTCCAAAGAATAAATTCGCACTTCAGTGAGCCAAAGGGACGAGTAAGAGAACTTCGGCATCTTCGGGACCAATTGGCAAGGGATGGGCACCCGAATAGCATCGTCAGCCGCTGCCTCCGCACGCACCCACCCACGGCGAACAAACAGAGGATAGCTGCCAACGCTCTGGCACCCTCTACCATATTTGAAGAATACGGCCGAAACGATGGAACGCATCGCGAGAGAGCTCGGCGTGGGGTATCGCTCACAGTCCGAAAGCGACCATGTGCAACAAAATCGTGCCAGTGAAGGACCGCCTAGATGTGGGAGAACAATCGGGTGCCGTTTATCAGACCCCATGTCGGGACCGCCCTCGCCATCTACACAGGGCAGACCGGACGATGACTTAGCTCACGAGCATAAACGGGCGGTCTGCAGAGGCGACCCGTTGTTTCCGATCGCCACTCGCACCCTGAGGGAAGACCACGAATTCAACTTTGTGAGCACACGGATAGTGGCGCGAGCCAACAATAAAACAGGACGAGAACTATTGGAGGCGCCTGACACCAACTCTATCACCAGACACGTTGACATACCCCTCTTGCTATCACGCGCTCCGTTCCCGCGGCCAAGAGGCGAGACCCAGTTTCCAGCCAAGAGTGCACGCAGTCACGCCACCGCGAGACGGCGTGGGACTCAGCTTATCGCACTGCGCTCTGCACTCATATCCCCTCCCCCTTCATGGCTTGACTATGAAGACTGCTCATTTGATGCCGCATTCTCACAGTCTCTGACGCTGGCCTCCTATACGTGACCAAAATCTCAGACTTATGCACCCACTGTCCCGAAGATCGTGTGTTCATCCTCTTACCAATTGCCGGTATATTTGAAATCTCACTGATATCGAGGCGACTATTAAGTGCGTTGGGAATCTTCACGAGAAAAACCATGGGACCGTACTCGTGCCGGCAAATGACGATGCAAATTGAAGAAATATGCAGCATAAACGCTGTCGAGGTTTGCTTCTACAGCCCTACCTAAGTGATACCATATGGTTAGCTTTCTAAAAAAGGTTAGTGGATGCGAATACACCGACTTTACAAATATCACGTATTTGCATCTTCCCTAGGGGAGTGGGAGCATTTATACGTCAGCCTCGGTTACTCCAGGCACCAGTTTATATGCGCTTCCCATGTGGACGTCGAGCCCTGCTTGTTTTCTTTTCATCACCCTACTCCAGCGACTGGCCAAGTAGACTGGCTAATGGAATTTTTCCGACGGTGCGGGACTCTGTCGGTTCCACCAGGGCGGCCGTGCACTGCGAATTACCGCTCGGTACCCTCAGTGTCCTTCCAGTTGTGACCATGCCTCCATATCTTCTTAATCCAACGAGTACCTGCGTATCTGATTTTTCAACAAATAATACTACGACTTTGCTTTAGAGGTCTCCAGCGAGAACGTCATCTGACCGGAATGGAGATTTCTAGTTTTTTTTATGTGTAAATAAACATAGTCGGTAATCTGCGGCGTAATACACAGCTGTGAAAGACTCATAGACCAATTACCAAAACTCTCAAAATTTCCCATAACTAACGCCAACACTCCATCAAATGAAGGGTCGAATCGTTGGCACAGGGGTAGTCTGCAAAAAGACAGACCACGACATCCTGTATAGGAATGTCCGAGCACGGTAAAAATTGCTGCGAAAATACATGTGACCGTAGGCAACCAGAGATCCAACTGTCGGAGATGTCGGACATCTCAGCTACGCGTGTCAAAAGATATTTCTGAAAATCCCAACCAGAGTTCAATTTTTCACAACGACAATAACTCGGTTAAGAAGGCCCTTGCAAGCCGACCAGCTTGTAATTCTGATAAAAAAAGACCGATCTACACCCTTGTCTTAAGTAAAATGACAAATTTTATGTCTTGAAATAATGACCAGTGTATTTTAATTAACTGGAATCGCATGAGTCGAAAAGGCATTTAGAAAAAAAATAATATGGGCAAAGTTCGGTCCTGCAGCCCCACCTGAGCTTTGTAAAAAAAAAGACTAGTTAATACGAATGCCCTGACTTTACAATATCACGCATTTGCGTCTTCCTTACCACTTTAATACAGCAAGTGACTGTGCCACGGGGGGAGGGATGCTTATACGCCAGCCTCGGTCACTTCAACTATCAGTTCACATGCGCTTCCCTCCGCGAGTTTCAAGCCCTGATTGCGCGCTCTTTATTACCTCAATCCGGCGAGCGGCTAAATAGACCGGCTAATGGAATTGTTCCGACGACGCGGAACTCCGTCGGTTCCACGACAGTGGTCATGCACTGCGAATCCCCACGCCCTACCCTTAGTGGCCTTCCAATTCTGACTGTTCCTCCATATCTTCTTAATCCAACGAGTGCCTGCGTCGGGGGAGAGTGTATACACGCCAACTTCACTCGCTTTCCTGCGCATGCTTCGACCTCTGCTTGCACACTCTTTCCCTGCCTAATCCTGGCAGTGGTTAAGCTAGGAATGTTCACTGAAATTGTTTTACTAAGCTAAACGGTCGGATGTGGTAATGTAGCCTCACCTGAAGTAAACAAACCCCAACCACCTGTCATACGGGACCGATGTTAATAGGGGTTTTTCCAGGTAGGGTCGGGGAACGCATGGGCGACAGGGTCAAGTAGTTGTATCAAAAGAAAATCTATTGGGAATGCGCGGTTGTACTTTGACTGGTTGAAAAGTAGTTGCCCTTAACCCCTAACCTTAACTCCTAACTCTAACCCCTAATCCTAAACCCTAACCTTTGACCCTAACCCTAACCCCTAGCCATGACCCCTAACCATTAACCCCAACCCCGACAGTATTGTGTCCATCAGTTGGGGCCACCAAACCACATCTTACCAGTTAAAAAGATGGTATCACACAAGAGAGGCTGCAGAACCAAACCTCGCCCACACGGATTCTGGGTCGTTCGCAAAACTGAAATTACAGACTCTCGGTTAAAAATGCATCCAAAAGACCAGGCTTCTCGTGAAAGGAGGGCTGGTTTTCGTCTGCCAACTTGGTGGAGAGGGTAAAGTTATCAGCAGAAGCCTGGCGACGATTGGACTAGACGGAGCACACATTCCATTTCGGCGTCGTCGGTGTTATAGACACGATCACACGCCCGCGACGGCTCCAACAAGTGTACTTCCTGCTAAACCGCGACTTTACATCTCTGTCAACGCAGAAAAAACGTACCACACGCTGGCCTAGCCGTCCTCACCGCAAACAACCCAGAACGGTCTGGATGCAAAATGCGGCCGGGACACTGAAGACCCACGCCAGCTAGGCACAGGGCACCGTCCGACCTCAAACCGAAAATGCACCTCTCGCGGCGACCGCCTCCTCCAGTAAATTGCATCTTCACTACTATCTCAATGCGATTCCCAGGTGGCATATCAAAAGAAGAAGAAGAAGAAGAAGAAGAAGAGGCGTTCACCGGGAAGTGTTTAATGGAGGTCCGACGTTTCGAGTAGTTGATTCGTCTACCCAGCTTCAGAGACTGGAAATTCATGCGCACAGCTCCCCTTTTCACGTATTGGCATCTTACTTACCATTGTAATCTAGCGAGTGACGAAGAACACTTGCTAGTGGGATTGTTCCGACGGTGGGGAACTCCATCGGTTTCATTTCAGTGGCCATGCACTGCAAATTGTCATGTAGTTCCCCTAATGACCTTCTAGCAGTGATTGCGCCCCCCCTTCCCCTTATTCTCTGCTCCCGTCTGGGAGCAAAAGTGTGGACACACCACCCTCATTCGCTTGCTTTGAGCCCTGCTATCGCTCTCTATCCTTTCCTAATCCAGCGATTGGCTAAGTTAGGTACAGTAGGTGGGCTAACTCATGAAATGTCAACGAAAATTCCGAAGTGCGGTTTCGTCACGAAAAGATTAATAAGGTAGGGTTGTAAAACTGGTCAGCTTGCAGCATAATTCTATAATATTTCAGTTGCCTCAGGATGCCGGCTTTCGAGTGAACTTCCTTTCGGCTGCATGCAAAAGTACACTTTGTAAATAATGACTTCTTAAGCAGCTTGAATTTTTCTCATTGATTTTCAATGTCCCTAAACGTCTTATTATATTTCATGGAAAACATGCATACAAATATTCCTTCTCTTGCTCATTCAGTAGATAATTACGCCTTCTTGTAATTTTATACTTGAAGGAGGGAAATAATTCGGTCTTAAAAAAAGTTCTTACTGTGAGAATTTTAAACACCATGAAAGGGCCGTTCATAAATCATCATGTCTGCATTTACGAATGTGGCTTTTAAAGTTAACAATATGGATCAAATCCACTGCTAGACTTTATGAACCTTTATGGTCCCCCTTTAGTACCGTAGAGAAATGTATGGTCTTCCGTACACGGAAAATATACGGCGTGTAGTTTGGAAACCCTGAATTCAAGTGTAACGGTAGAGCGGGTTCAAAATTATTCGGCAATGAGAAAAGTATTTGAAAACCGAATTATACACTTTCTTCTAATATAAGATTGTACGAAGACGCTATTGTCTACCGAATGAGCGGCAGAGTGAATATTTATATGCATGTTTTATATGAAGTATAATTAGACATTTAGGAGTATCAAAAATCAATTGAAAAATATATCCTAAATAGGTAGTCGTTTTTATAGAGGGATGGAATTTCGTTCGAAAGCTGGCAGTCTGAAATAACTGGAATATTATAGAATTATGTTGCAGGCAGACTAGATTCACAACCCTGCTTAATTTATTTTTTCGAAACGAAAACGCATTTCGGAGTTCCTGTTGACATTTCATGAGTTAACCCACCTACTTTAAGTTGATTAATACAGTATTATTAAGCTCACCATATGGTATCAGTCAAACGGGTACGGCGTAGAACTTCACCGATTCTGCTACAGCGGCCGTAAACAAGGAATTACCACGCGCCTCTCTCCGTGGGCTTCCGGTTCTAATTGCGTCCTCCTTTTCTTCTCAGTCAAGAAAGTTGCTGTGCCAGGGAGAGAGTGTGTATACGCCACCTCCACTCGATTTCCTGCGCGTACTTCAAGCTCTGTTTGCGCTCTTTTATTCTTCTTAATCTAGCGAGTGGCTAAGGTAGGTATGCTAACTAATATTGTTTTAGTAAGCCAACCATGTGGTATCGTAAATGTAAGGCGGCAGAACTAAACCTTGCCTAAACACCTTCCTAAGATGTCATTGTAGGGAAAATGCAATTCGTTGGTTTCGTGGAGGAGATCTGTAGAGGAATATCTTTGTTTAAAAATTTATCTTAGAAGTTAAAAACCTGATTTTGTCTATTTTGTGCTTTTGGCAGAGCTGTACAAGGTAGCTCAGATATGTGGTTCAGATTGTGTGCACAGATTAGTTGGTCCCGACTAGAAGACTTATCCTTCTTTCGGGTTAGCGACACTATTGTTTGAGTTTCCTAACGCGGATAAACATACCCAAAGTAATTCTGACGTGGATTTCGAGGAACATGTCATTTTCAATAATATATATGTCCTACTAACGTTTATGCCTAAAATTACAATAAAAAAATGAAACTCTCAAGTCAGGTGATCATCGAGCAGCGGTTGCTTCATCACACTAATGGATTTACTTTATGTTTAATAGTACCGGGATTAATTATTCAGTTGGAAGCGACATGCACAGACTGATACTGATTGCTGGACGAAAAAGAGCATTTTGGGGGACTCATTTCTGGGTCAGGAATGACAATGTATTTTTCTTATTCTATCCCGGTCTTTATAACATGCCCATGTTCCCTAAAGACAACAGCTATTTGTCGTAATTTCTTGCA